GTTCTGCACATCTCTCTCTTGCTCGCTTCGTTCTGCACATCTCTCTCTTGCTCGCTTCGTTCTGCACATCTCTCTCTTGCTCTCTTCGTTCCACACATCTCCTGTGAGCAGGATATTTTTTAGCAGTGCAATGTTTTGGAAATCTTGTATGGAAGATTTATATTTTGTTTTGTTTTGGTTGACGAAATGCAACACATCTGTAAGCCCTGTCATATTTCTGCATTTGCCTGCAGATTCTCTTCGTGTCAGGCCTCTCTTTTGTCATCGGCCTGGAGCGCACCTTCAGGTTCTTCTTCCAGAGACATAAAGTGAAAGCCACAAGCTTCTTCTTGGGAGGGATTTTGGTGGTTCTGACTGGCTGGCCGATCATTGGAGTCGTTCTGGAAATCTATGGTTTCTTTCTCTTATTTAGGTATCGTCACACATAAAATAATGCGATAAAACACCTCTTTTTTTAAAACACATCTCACATTGTTTTCACTTTTCATTTACAGGGGATTCTTCCCGGTGGCGGTCGGATTTATGAGGCGAGTGCCCGTTCTTGGATCTTTTCTCAGTTTACCGGGAATTAGGACAGTAAGTGTGATTTCAGTCATTTAGAAAATAAAATAGCAAAATGCTGCTGGAGGCATCATAGCCTTTTTTTGTTTTTATTTTACTTTCTTTCAGTTGGTGGACAAAGTTGGTGAGAGCAACAATATGGTATAACACGACGCTGCTAGCACAAAGGAGGGCTATCCTTGTGTTTATCATGGATTCTCATCGTGATTGTATGTTTCAGTCCTTGCCATTCCAGAAACGTTCATGTATGCATTTTCCTGCTGAAAACAAACACGTTTGTCTGTAAATGTTCCTCCGACTGCATCCATTCCCCCCTGGTTTATTCATAAGGAGCATCTGATTGAGACTGGACTACGATACAGATGTGTTTCTGTTGTTTTTACCTCTTTCTACCATTACCTTGCAATATTTATGGACTAAATATTTGGCAACACTGGACGATCTCAGAGGAAAGTCAGTGCCTGGGAGCAATCCTGTTTGACATGTAACTGAAATATTAATATGGAGTTTTGAATCAAAAAAAGGTTGTTTTAATCTTTACAGAAATGTGAAGTGCTGTAAGAAAACAGTTTGAAATGTTTGTACTGTAATTTTTACAGTGATTTTTTTTCTAAGTAAATACTTGTAATAAAATGTGTACTTTTTGTAAAAAGGTCTGTATTTTTTTTTTATTTGATCTTATTTTGATGCATAAAATGAACTGTATAATTAATATAGATGTATATATGTAAATGTAAACATATATACTATATATGAGGTTGCAAGTACTTGGTTCGATCCCCACAGCCTGCACTCTGGGTCCTTGAGCAAGACCCTTTACCCCACAAATGCAGAGGTACATTCCCCAATGTGAGAGCAATAAAATCCAAATACCATTATATTAAAAATCAATTTTTACTAATTTTGCAACATATTTTTTATTGAATAACATAAATCCTTTAGGTTACTCCTGTTTGTCGCAGCAGAAAGTCATTAAAACTTACAAGACAGGATCAGGTTTTTAAGCCAAACGCCCGTCCTCCTGCAGCAGGAATTTCAAACCCAGTTTCCTCGTATCGAAGATGCAGACTGGACCCCTGTATCTGTTCCTGGTCAAATGAAACAAGCTAATTTTAGCTGGGTAACTATTCCGCCATCTGCAGCAGTGGTCAGCCTGCATTCAAGGCACTTACTGCTTGCCAGGATAGAGGTTACCATTGCAATAATTTTCACATAATGTTTTTTTTTTCTTTGCTCCACATAGATATTTCCCAACTGTTCGTTTTCACAGGACAGGTAGGGGCTGCCGCACGGACAGCAGACTCAGAAATGCATGGATCCAGCAAAATACCACTTTGATTTTGATGAAGGAATAGTATTTCATTAAAAAAATTAAAAGCTCAAAAAGTTAATTTTGCATTCTATAATCCCCTTACAACATCTTGGCCTCTATTCTAAAGATTCTCTCAGAGAGCTCCTGACTTAACATAAACGATCATGGCAAAGATTTTTTAGCATCTCAGGGAGGAGGGGGTGGTTGACTTGTATCTTAGTGAGGAGTTCTGGTTGACCTTGTTGGATTTAAGGCTAAAAAAACAAATGAAAACAGGAAAAGCAAATTCCCTCCCAGTTAAGATAAAAAGGAACCAATCCTAAAATTTAGACTCGATTAGAATTTTTTTT